ATAGAATAGAATAGAATAGAATAGAATAGAATAGAATAGAATAGAATTCTTTATTGGCCAAGTGTGATTGGACACACAAGGAATTTGTCTTGGTGCAAATGTTCTACAGGTCTACAGGTAAGAAGCTTATCTGGCTTGTTATAAAGAAAGTTTCTGTCCTTAGGACTGCCTGCCGCCTACAGCTATATTTCAAAGCTCTCTCTCGGTTCTAACGTCTGGCAGGGTGATTCATTCCTGGCAGCCTGAACAGCAGGATGGGAGAAGGAAAGGAAGAGGAACAGAATAAAAGAAGTGGATGTTCAGAAACAGAGAAGGCAAGGCTACAACTATGTTGGGTTCCGTCTGTCTCCCCCGCTCTTTGCCAGGACTGAATGCAGTTCGCCTGCGCTAACTGCATTCTCAGAAAATAAAGATTGCCAGATGTAATCTGGGTCGGTCCCCGGGACCAGAGGTTTTGTCTTCCCAGCTTTCGGACTCATGCTGGAGCTCGTCTGTCAGGGTTCCGACTGATGCCCTAATTAATTCATGAGCCTCAAGCCAAGTTTCAAAAGAAATCCAATTATTTATTAGGAGCAACATGTTGGCACTTTTCCCAAGTGCAGTTGGCTCTGCCCTATGTAATTTACTGCCGACCTATGACCCTGTTTCCTCCCTCCTCCCAGGGTGTGTCATAAATCACATTCTCCAACTAAGCACTTTCATGGGCTGTAGAAAGCACGCCTCTCTGGCTGGCTCTGGTAACCTGGGACACAATCTGGAGAAAGGCATGCGTGGAATGTGCTTTTGATCATAGCAACCAAACTGTGCTCCATCAGATCTCAGCCCCGCTCCTTCTTATGGCAACTCGAGACCAGGCCAGGAATGCTTTACGAGTTGACATTATCTTTTTAAGCCCATTTCAGACTTCTGCTGGAGCCCATCGCTCTATAGCAAAGTGTGATATTCTACACTCCGCTAGGGAGGTTCCCTGAAGATGGGCTCCGGCACAACTCCAAACGCTTGGAAGACAAAAACCTCTGGTCCCGGAGACCGACCCAGATTGGATCCTGCAATGTTATCCTGGGACACCTTCATTCATGGAGAGAGAGAGAAAAGATCATGGGTTAATCCTGCTGCAGAGGCTCTTCCTTTGATGAATATATTCAAGGCATTCTCTCACGGCTGCAAATCTGTCCAAAGATCTCATCCAAAGGATTACCCACAAATCCGATGCAATGGAGCGACTAAGTCGCCATTTCCCCAACTCAGTCTTTTAATTCAAGGCAGTTCTACATTTGTGGAAAGCATTCGGAAAACCAGCAAACTGCCCTTTGATATTTCAAGGACAAATAGCGGCCATCTACAAAATCCCCATCTCCCAAATCTTGCAGGCTGAGACTTAAATGAAACATGAAGAGTTGCTTTGTGCTTGCTAGCTGTTTAGGCGGTCCTATTATCTGGTTGAAGTCGAAAGAGGGCCACATCTACATCTGTACTTATTTTGCAGAGTGCCTGGCAAGATTTGCTGGTCCTTGATCCCTTGTTATTTTAGTTGGAAAAACCATGTATGGCTGCTCATAAAAAACTCACATTAAGCTTTATTTTATCATACTTAATTTTCTGCTTTATGAATTACATTCTTATCCAGCCTCTCATTTAAGACTAGTGGTGCAGAGACACGATGGATTACAGCACACAAAAGCCTCCAGTGATGGAGCCCCCACAGCTTCTAAAAGCAAGCCATTCCACTGGTTTATTGTTCTCACAGTCAGAAAAAAATTCCTGAGTTCTAGGTTGCTTCTCTCCTTGCTTAGTTTCCAAGCACTGCTTCTTGTCTTGCTTTTTGGTGCATTGGAGAATTCCTTGATTCCCTCTTCTTTGTGGTAGCCCCTCAAACACTGCTATCGTGTCACCCTTAGTCCTTCTTTTCACTAGACTAGACATACTCCGTTCCTGCAAACATTCTTCATATGTTTTCGTAGAAGAGGCAGTGATGAAGTGTTGGATCGGGTTCAGGGGGAACCAGGTTAAATCCACCGACAGTCAAGAGGAATCACTGGGTGGGCTTTGAATCAGTAACCACTTCATGACCTGGCTTATCTCAGAGAGCTGTTTTTCTGATAATATTTAAAATCCTGAGTTCCAGGAGGAGGAGGAGGAGGAGGAGGAGGAAAAGTAAGAGAGGTAGAAGGAAGGGAGATGGAATCAGGGAGAAAGAGGGGGAGGAGGAGGATCACAACCCAATCATCACTACTATCATCATCATCATCAAGCAAGCAAGCAAGACAGAACTAGACCATATTTTGTGAAAATGAAAGAAGAGTTGTGGATATAAGGGGGAAAAAAAACAGAGGAAGTGGACCGGTTAATGTATTCAGTTATCAGAGGGGAAAGTAGAATGGAACTCATAATGATAAAAACAAGTGATGGTCCCATATACGAGAAAACTGAAAAGAAAAAAAGAGCCAGGAAAATATTTGTAAAACTGTCTGGCCTAATTTAACATGGATCAAGATGACCAGAGGAAAATATGTCTGACAGTACAGTGCTATAACTGTTAACTGAGAAAATAATAACTGGGGGAAACTAAGAGACTTGCAGACTGGAAATATTTTATCATGTGGATATTAGACACCCTTTGATGTGCAGTGAAAGCAATTTACTACAGAACAAGCAGTTAATTAAAAATGAAGAATGAACAAGTCCTTAAATAGGACTAGTATTGTACCTGATTGCCGAAGAGGTTGAATCCATTAATTGCTTCTAGAGCAGCTTTTGCCAACCCGACAGAACTGAGAAAGAAAGAAAAGAGACAGAGAGGGGGAAAAATGTTTGTTATGCTTACAACTCTGGAAATAAAAATTGTGCTCCCTAAAGGCTAGCTTATACATCAGATAATTTCTTGCTGACAGCTTTAAAAGAAAAAATCTTAGGACAAAGTGATGATACAGTAGATTTATTTTATTGGTTTTCAGCAATTTGTATTTAAAGGTCACCAGTGATCCGTAAAAAAAATTATGTATTGTTTTGAAAGGACCTTGGATGTGGACATCTGGAACCGTAAGTTTATAGGTCTTGCTGTAACAATAGCCAGCTTCATCTTCTAGGGGAGAGATGAAAAGGAGTTGTTGTTTTTTCCATTACTTTATGGGACCATTGGTGTACATGGTACTCTTGTAATCTAAGGGCCTAAAATAAATTGTCTTTTACTCTGAAGGCTTCTTAGGAATACTGTGGAAATAAGCAAACCTGAGTCACAGTCATCTATGAACTATCAGCACCTTGGACAGCACCACCAAGCGATTAACCTGTGCTTGAGGGGGGGGAATACTTATTATGAACCAAGTACCTGTTTTATGTGAAACAAAATACTAAATTCATAATTCATAAATGAACAGGTGCTTTTACCCTGAAGTTATCTATTACTTATTCAGGAATCAACCATAAAAGGATTCCCTTTTTTTAAAAAAGCACAAAACTTAAAACAATGGGATAAAATAGGAGTTTTTGGATCTAAGATTGGACTTGAATCTGGTTTGCCTTCAAGGTCCATCCAATATCTTCACATCCGCAAGACACCAGTTCTTCAAAACATAGCTTCTACTGGAATGTTTTCATTACTAGCTTACCAGGAAACATTGATTTTTTTTTTCTTTATGTCAACGTTCACGCTGAGAGCTTTCCATGCTTTTCTGAAGCAATGCACAAGAGGGGGTGCTGTTTACTAATTGGTTCAACAAGAGAAAGATGATTAGGTTGCCTACAAAACTTTGTTCTGAACAGCTGCCACCAAAGGCTGATGAAATCTCACATATTTTGTTCCTCATTTTCTGCTGATTAGAAACTATTCTCTTCGTGAATGACGGATGACATGTTAATAGAAGCTGAATTGCTTAGTGCAATTCAGTTTTGTTAATGGAATCTTCCCCCCTCCATTAAACTCAAGAAGGACACCTATGATTGCATCTTTCCGGCACTTCTTGAAGCCTTCCCGCAGGCTTTCCTTATGTGAATCTATACAAATGGGGTTTTTTTTAAAAAAAAAACTCCTTTTCTCTATTTTTTTCAACTACGCAAATTTTTGACCCATTTTAATTAACTCTTTCCATTTTGAAATACACAAAACTGGACATCATCGTTTATTTATCAGATTTCTTCGTCAGCAAAGGAAGCTGGCTTTCACTGTATTAAGTCTGGTACAGCAATGTGGATTTAACCCACCGTGCAAACTAATGTGCCCCTAATTAAAATCCCCCAAACATCAATAGTATGAGTGACCCCATAAAGAGGAAAATCCAAATCAATCATAGACGGATCCAGGTTTTTTTAAGTAAACAAAATCTTTCTTGGTCCAATCTAAATAAGAGAAGAACATATATTGGAAACCCAATATTTCTTCATTGATACTGATATAAGTATGTGATACTAAGGCACGATTCAGCCATCAGTTCAATAATCTAAACATCTATGGAGATTCTCAGCCAACCAGGTCATGGCTGTACCAAAGGAGCTTTTTCAAGAGGCAACTGGACTTTCTGGTTTTCGTATCAAGACATTTTGCCAAGAAGCTGAAGAAGCATCTTGGATGAGAAATGAAGCATATTCAAAGAAAAAGCAGAAAGTCCAGTTGCCTCTTGAGAAAAGCCCCTTTGGGACTTCAATAATCTAATTAACAGATATGTGCCAATGTGGAACAAAGGAGTGGCTTTTCCAAAAATGAGATCAGCTTACTGATTTCATTCCTTTAGCTTTAGAGATCAGTAAAGGCACCAATGAAGTTTTTTTTTTAAAAAAAAAATGGAAAGAGCAATGGTCAACTTCTTTTGCTCACATAGGGGATAAAGATTAAAGCAACTGGATTAAGAACGTGTTACTTGGTTCGATGGTGCCCAATGATACTGCAAGCTAGAAGTCAGCATCTCTGAAAAATACTGAACAGCTTTTCGCAAGCTTTGTGATTACGCAGCTGTTAAATGTTGGGCTTCTGATTGAATGATTGCTTAAGAATGAGAGATAAGAAATAAGGCACTCTGCTCCTGAATTGCTGTTCACTGTCTTAGGGGCAATCTTTAGTTGCAAGCCCCGAGGTTTAATTTAAGATATATCCAAGTTCAAGGATTCGGTCTAAAGAGCCTAAGTTTATAAGGACTGTACAACTGAATGTATGAACAAATCTCTTTCAAATGCCAACTGGTGCTCTAAAATAAGACTCTCTTCATGCATGTGTGTGCATTTACACGCACATATGGATCACAAAGTGACTGTGGAGCTCTTCATTCAAACAGGATATGGTTTGCAGCCCAAGCTAAGAGTCTCTTGTATGTCTGTGTCAGCCTTTGAGTCAGTGTTGACTGCTGCTGTCCTTGCAACTTTCTTCAGAAGTGGTTTGCCATGGCTTCCTTCCGAGGGCTGAGATAGAGTGGCTGGCCCAAGACCACTCAGCTGGTTTTATGTGCAAAATAGAACTCATGATCTCCCATCTTATGGAGATTCTCAGTCCTCCATCATTTCTCATCCAAGAAGCTTCTTCTGAAGAAGCTTCTTGGATGAGGAGCGAAACATTTTCAAAGAAAAAATAAGAAAGTCCAATTGCCTTTTTAAAAGCATCGTTGGGTCATGTTTTCCCCATTTTCAAACTGATGCTATAACCACTACACGACACTGGCTGTCTAAGCTAATTAAGTAATGGAAATAAATGCAAATAGATGGGATCAAGAGGTTTTGAAACAGCCTTCCACAACAAAACAAGCAGTTCCAATTCTAATCAGGATCAAATCATTCAGAAATACATAATCTTCCTTTGCTTTCATATTTAAATTCTTCCCTTCAGGAAATGATGTTTCTATGAAAAGAATCAAGAACAATACTAAACTACATTGTCTAAATTTAACGTAGACTACATTAAAACTGGCAGCCAAATGAACAAGCCAAAAAAAATCTTAATAAGGACAGACAACATATCAGTGGGATGAGTCACAGAACAAAGTCTCAGAACAAAGAAGAACGAGCAGAAGACTCTGATGCCAAAGACTTTCTAAAGCTTGGAGTAGAAAGACGTTGCTTTTCAGAAACAAAACACAGATGGAACATGTCAAAAATGTGGTTTTTTTTCCAGAATAATTCAACAGATTCTTGGAAATAAGCTCGAGCAAAATGAATATGTCAGCGTTCCAGAGAACTTCCACTCCAACAAATAACTCCAAGACAGACATCTTCTCAAAAGTTCTTTTTATTTTGGGTAGTAAACTGGCACAACTGGGGAATCCCAAATCTAAAAGTTCCGGGCTTCCTTGCAATGAGTAAAAAATGCAAATCCACCCCCTGCATCCATCATCGCATCGCATGCCCCAATCACCATCCCTCCCAACTTGAGACTTCCCCTCACTTATGCACAAAACAACATGACCTTGACTTAGAAAAAGAATGTTATTATGTCTAACAACATACACCCCAAGAAATTTCCCCCTCCCATTTTCCCAGGCTCAAAATGTGGCAATGGGGAAGCGTCTGGTTTCCAAAGCTGACAAAATATTTCCAACACAGGGTGGGAGAATCATGAACTTCTAGACATCACTGAGCTAGCTTTCCATAATTGCCAAAATTTAAAATTGATCATTGCGGGGGGAAAAGTCAACAGCAACAAAAATTACGTTGCTACAGATAGTCCTTGACTTACAACCGTTTGTTTAGTGATCATTTGAAGTTACAATGGCCCTGAAAAAAAATGGTTTAGGACTGTTGCTAACCCTTCCAGCCACTGCAACATCTCCAAGGTCAGTTGGCCCATTGGGTAGGACAAGGGTCTTCCAACTTGGCAACTTTAAGACTTGTGGACTTCCAACTCCCAGAATTCCTGAGCTAACATGACTGGAGGAGGAATTCTGGGAACTGAAGTCCACAAGTCTTAAAGCTGCCAAGTTGGAAGACCCCTGGGTTGGGAAGTTCAACAGAGCATTTTAGAAGCCTTCCTAATGATTTGCAATAAGCCGCAGGCTTATTTCTGCTTTGTCCCCAATATTTGGAACATCTTCCCCTACTGTCTGTTCATCTGTTACATTTAGAAATAGATATTTTGATATACATTTAAAAATACAGGTAGTCATTGATTTGCAACCATTCATTTAGTGACCGTTAGAAGTTACCAAGGCACTGAAGAAAGTGACTTAGGACCGTTTCTCACACTTACGCCATTGCAGTGACCCCATGGTCACGTGATACAAATTTGGACGCCTGACAACTCACTCATATTTATGACAGCTGTAGAGTCCCGTGTGTCAACTAAAACGAGACTCCTTTGGTCTTTTTGGCTGCCAGAAAAAGGGAGTGGGGGAAAACAGTGCATTCCTTAAGTGCCTAGATAATCACCCTGGCAGCCCAAAGTTGTCAGAGCGCAAGAATATTACTGGAGAGCATGATTGATGACTCTTGGCTATGGATGTGTCCCATTGGAGAATACACATCCAGGGGGTGGGGGCAAGACAAGGGTAAAGGGGGAAATATATGATGTAATTTAGTATTGGCTACATCCAGCTAACACCAACATGGGCCCTTCTGATAAATCAACTTTCTTTTCTCTGAGATGTGGCTGGAGACTTATGATTTGAATGGGGGCGGATTTGTTAGAATCCTGACATCATGGCCATGCAATTTACATTCAGATGCTTGACAACTGGTACATATTTATGGCCGTTGCAATGTCCCAGGGGGTCATGTGATCCCCTTTTGCAAAGTCAGTGGGGAAGCCAGATTCAGTTAACAACCATGTGAGTAATTTAAGAACTGCAGGGATTCACTTGACAAATGCAGTGAGAAAAGTCGCAAAATGGGGCAAAACTCACTTAACAAACATCTCACTTAGCAACATAAATTTTGGGCTCAATTGTGGTCCTAAATGTTGAGGACTACCTGTACACTGAGAGAATATTCCTATTAAAAATATGCATTACTTTGTTTAATGCCACATTTCTGTCTGCCTTTCCCCCCTCCCACAGCAGTTCAGGATCAGAAGGCTGCATGGATTTTACCCCATGGAGATTGAGGGACCAGACCAAGCCCTCCTATAAATTCCACATCAACGTTCACAACGGTTGAGAATAACAAGAATGGGCTTATTGGAGGGAGGAATAAAAAGGAACGGGGAAAAAAAAAATACCTTGAATGCAATTCGGTGCTGCCGTTGTTATATTTGCTTCCTCTTTCCCACATGCCAAAATCTGGAACCCGGTATGCTCTTTCTACGCAAAAAACGAGGTTTTGTATGAAAGAGACCTTCAAAAAAAAAAAGGAAAGGAAGAAAAGGAAATAGAATTGAGAGACAGCAAAGTGGTGAAATCTATTAATAGTTCTGTGTTCTGAAAGACGTGGATAGCTTTTCAAATAATTCTGTTTGCCTTGCCTATAGTTCAGGTGCTAATAATAGTTTGCTAATATTATTACTGGGCATGACATGTAATTGGCAGAAGTATTCTTCTCTAAAATTATGTTGCAGCAGGGAGCAGGTCAGGAATAATTATTTGACTGAATTTTACTCCAAACTCGGTTTGGAGAATTCTCCCTTCATCCTTGCCAGGACCATATTATTTTTGCTTTGAAAAAAAAAAATCAGGATTATGCATTGGGAGTGCCAAACGCTCTCATTTTTTTTCCTGGAACATTACAGTAGGACAGAGATTTTAATAATATAGTACTGATAATTGCAAGGGTAAAGCTTTTCTTTATCCTGGAACTGCCCTGCTTTGCGTGTGTTAAGGGATGTGCAAGTACTAATATCACAGGCTCAAAATGTTTAGACTTGTGGAAGATAAAGAGTGAAACTTGTTTGTGGACATTCTCAATCATTCAAGTCATGATTGTCCCCAAGGTGCTTTTTCCAAAATTTTCTGGGTCTAAAAAAAATAAACAAAAAACATTTTGCTTCTCATCCAAGAAGCTTCTTCTATTAGAACTGAAGAAGCTTCTTGGATGAGAAAGCAACCCCCCCACCTCCCAAGAAAGCCCAGTTGTCCTTCTGGGACAAGGACTGAAACTGGTTCTTCAACTCTTGCTGAGGGTCAAAATGCCAATTTTACTCATTAAATCCCAAGACCAGTGGTGGTATGCTACCAGGTCGGCCTGGTTCTGAGAGCTGGTAGCAGCGATGAGTAGCAGAGACCGGACCAATTCTCTCCACTGCTCTGCTGTTGGGCCCACCTGCCCACCTGGGCTCCCATATTCCCCGTTATCTTCTGCTTTTGAACTGCAGCTGCTTTGCGCTTCAGAAGAATGCCGTGCGGCAGCTGCTAAAGCGACCGGGAGAGTGTAGGCTTGCAGGAGATGAGTTGGAACGCCTCTGTGCCTGTGCGAAGTGTGCGTTTGGGGCGTGCATAAACGCAGAGTGTGTACATGTGTGCAAAGCACCAAGCCACGCCCACCAAACTGGTGGTAAAAAGTTTTGGAATCCCACCACCGGCCAAGACTCCAAAACCTCTGGCCTCCTACCCACTTTAGGAAATTGTGGGAATCTCTCGCTCCTCAAGGAAAGGAGTGTTGGGATTGTATCTACTATAACCCATGTCAAAGAGGTTCTTCATTGCTTCACCTAGGTTGGATTTCTCTCCGCTCATTCCTCTCGTAGCACCTTCTTCTCCCAAAGCTTCTTCAGAAGCTTAGGGAACCCTCAAGCACTTTTCATTTGAGTTGGATTGTCTTCAAGAGCATCTATAATACATGGCAGGCCGTTCAAGGAAAAACCCAGACACCTGCAGAAGCTTGATAGAGTAGAAAGTCTCCCCAGTCAATAGCAATAGCACTTAGACTTATATACTGCTTTACAGTGCTTTATAGCCCTCTCTAAACGGTTTTACAGAATCAGCCTATTGCCCCCAGTAATCTGCGTCCTCATTTTACCCACCTCGGAAGGATGGAAGGCTGAGTCAACCTGGAGCCTGGTGGGATTCAAACTGCCAAACTGCAGTCAGTCGGCAGTCAGCAGAAGGAGCCTGCAGTACTGAACTCTAACCACTGCGCCACCGAGGCCCTTTCGTCTCATAATCTGCAGAATTAAACTATATTTGGACGACTCCAAATGCTATCTTTACATTTTAGTTACATTTTATATACCCCTCTTATAGGCATAAAGTTATTTTACAGAGCTGAACGTTTAGGTACAGAGGATGCATTTGATATGTTGCTCCGATAATATATATATTTATATGTGGGAAATAATCCACTTGCGTTTGTAAGGAGTTAACAAATATGATTGTTCTACACAGAGAAACAAAACCCATTACATTTATTCAGCCATTTAGAACTGGCTCAGTGTTTTTATCTACTCCTGGAGGCAGCTCATTTACCTCCGAGGGAAACAAGGAACAATAATGAATAGCTTCAATACACTCAATAGGCGTGACGTCTTGCGCAAGGAATTAGTCTAAATGCGAAATCAAGGGAGGGGAAAGGGGGAGGAGCCAGGGCTCAGAGCAAACACCAGTGGGAACATTGTCCGGATGAAACCACTCGGAGTTAGTGACAAATGCAGAGTATGTGACATGTAACTGGGCAAGAGGAATCTTCCTCTTCTTTCTTTCCTCCTTCCCTTTTTCCTTCTCTTTCTTCTCCTCCAGCTCCTTCTTCTCCTTTTCTTTCTCCTCCTCCTCCACCATCTCCTTCTCCTCCTTTTCCATCTTTCTTCTCCACGTCCTTCTTCTCCTTCTCCTTTTCTTTCTCCTCCTCTTCCTCTT